CATAGCTCAGTGGATTGAGCGTGGGCTGCAAACCAAAGCATCACAGGTTCGATTCCCAGTCAGGGCACATGCCTGGGTTGCAGGCCACGGCCCCCAGCAACCGCACATTGATGTTTCTCTCTCTCTCTCTCTTTCTCCCTCCCTACCCTCTCTAAAAATAAATAAATAAAATCTTTTTTTTAAAAAATTGTTTAACTACACACATACTACTTACACATGGTAAAACTTCTCTACAGTCTACAGGCAGATCATTTTGGGCAGGACTGAATGTGGCCAATTCTTTATTCATAGGGTATTGAAGAAGACTTAGATTGAAGCCTCAACTGATACTACTAACTATGTAAAGACGCAGTCGCTAGCAAGAAATAAATAAGGAAGTTATGTTCTGTATTTTAAAATACATCTCAAGAATAGGAAATAAAAATTGCTTTCCATTCTTGATCCTTAAAGATCCTGAATAATTTTTTGTGAAGTATCTCATACATAGAAGAGACTATATACATATGTAACTGTATGCATGATATATACATACTACACACACACACACACGTGTTTTTAAAATATCAATAACCTACTATCCAACTTAAAAATTAGAGAAAATATTGAACTTTTCACAAATTTACATAACATTCTTATACAGAGAAGGCAATCAGACCACTTTTCTTAAGATCTCTCCATTATCTTGCTGAATCCTGTAATATGTGCTATCAAAACACCTTTCTGAATTTCTTGTTCTTTTAAAAATGCGGTAATTATTTTTGATTTCCAGTACTAGATTGGAAGTCTGTCATAAGTAGTCTGTCATCTAGTGTTTTCTAGGTGCGTGTATATCCGAAAACAACAGTAAGGCCTTTTTTATATAAACTTAACAATACCATAGAAATACATCCAAAACAAGATAAGGAATGCGACCTATGTCTGCCTCCTTTTCAAACCAGAAAGTTCCAAAACATCAAATAATAAATCATTTGATACCAAAGCACATTTTTTAGCTACAAAGTTGCATATAAAAACTTTATAGCTTTCTAAGAATAAATAGCGGCAAAAACTCTCTGCAATTAAGTCATGAAACCTTAACTTCCAGGAATATGCTTCCCTCCTCATTGACCTTTTCAAAGCCTTTATCATACAATTCATAGCTTCAATAGGATCAGAGTCTCGTGGAGGGCAGAAGCCATTATAGTATTCATCTTTGTGTCTCCTTAAAAGAATCAACTGAATGATGTTTGTTATAACTAAGATAAACTCTAGGAAATGAGCTGAACACCTCAGTCCCAAAACAAAACTGGAAAAATAAAAGTTTGAAAATAAAAACATGATGAAAAAGAATAAAGCTATAAACAATTGTACTATATTATATCCTCTAGTGAATTAGGTGATAATATATAATATTCTCTTATCACCTAATTCAGAATCGCATACTAACACTTCAAAAATAAGCATGCAAAGAAAAAAATGAATCTTCAAATTCTGTCAGCATGCTCAAATACTATCACAGAATCTTTCATCTTAAACTCCTACAAACATCTCCACCCCCAAACAAAACTATATTGGGGGGGGGGGCTATCTAATGATATCTGAATATACACTGGTTCTATTTCACTACAATTTAAGTCCCTGAAATTGTATGAATAGTTTGTGGGACTGTGCTCATGCTCATTTTCTATAGTAAGGGTCTACCACCAGATTCTCAGGATAGATGTCCCAAAAACACTTTAAGAGCCACTAGCACATCAAAAATATTCCTTTTTCCAGAGAAACAAAGTAAGGTGACTTTATTCAAGTCTTCTTCCCTCATATTCTCAAAGGGGATCCTTACTATAAAATTAGCCTTCAAAGAATTCCTTCAGCCTAGCCAGTTTCAATATCCACAAGCACATATATAAAAACAATTCCCATATCCCCAAAACGGTTACTCATGAACTCAAAAAATAAAAATAAAAAAGTTAAAGAAGACACACTCTATCACAAACTGGCTACCCTATTTTTTTTTAATTATTTATTTATTTTTAGAGGGAGAAAAGGGAAGGAAAAACAGAGGGAGAGAAATATCAATATGTGGTTGCCTCTCATGCACCCCCTACTGGGGACCTGCCACACAACCCAGGCATGTGCCCTGACTGGGAATCAAACTGGTGACCCTTTGGTCTGCAGTCCATGCTCAATCCACTGATCTACATACAACAGCCAGGGGTACTCTGTTAATTTTTTAAATACACTTATATCCTTCCATATTAAAATGTCTGGAAGATCTTGTCCTGGACAGGTAGCTCAGTTGAAACATCATCCCATATACCAAAAGCAGTTGGATTCCTGGTCAGGGCACATACCAAGATCACAGGTTGGAACCCCAGTCCAGGTACCTGCAAAGGCAACCAACTGATGTTTCTCACATCGAAGTATGTATCCATCTGTCTGTCTGTCTCTCTCTCCCCTGCTCCCTCCCTGTCTTCCTACATCTCTCTCTAAAAATCAATAAATGTATCCTTGGTTGATGATTTTTAAAAAATAAAATTAAATAAAATGTCTAGACGATCTAAATTCCCTCCAAACTGAATAGCTTTTAGAAGGGTTTTCTAATTTCAACTACACACTGACTTTTCTGCATTGCTCAAATTAATACATATCACTGTCAAGGCAAGTCCTCCTTCATATGCACCCAGGTTGTTTCAACAGGGTCACCTTGATTATTCTCAGCCCAAGGCAGGAACATTCATCGAGTACTTATTCAGTAAGTATTCGTTAAATGAATGAAAGATGATCCTTCCTCCCACAGAAATAAAGTTACGCTGTCAGCCCCCATGCAGTTCTCTGGTACAAGCTTAAGTGTTAGAAATAGTCTGCTTCCTCCATAAACAAAAAATAATCAAGGATACACATTCTCATACAGGCCAACCTGGCAAGGACAACCTACATTCCATATACATGTCTAATGCAACTAATCTGTACCAAATACATTATCCAACCAGTCAATACGCCCCTATCTTTCCAATAAAGTCAGATTTGCCTGAAAAAGGCCTCCTAAGGCTCCATTGTATAGTGAATATACGACTGGACTAGTGGTCAAAATATTTGAGTTACAATCCAAACTTTGTCCCCAATTTAACATGTGACCTTGGAAAAATTATCTTTATGCCTCAATTTCCTATTTAGTAAAATGGGAGAAAACACCTACCACTTTCAAAGGGATTTAGGATCACAAATAAACCTCAAGTTGAGTCTGAAAGATACAAATGTTTTATTCTATTCTAAGGTGTTAATATAAACTCAAGTCCACAAAAAGGTCAAGCATTTTTTATACCCTCACAATAATTGGTCTGTTAAAGATAGCCTGGGCTTTCACATTTACACAATTCAGCCTATTCAAGGAAAACAACTATTCTGAAGACCACAACTAGCTATGACATTTCTCTTATCCGTGATCCCACACACACATACTATATAGTACGTCTAAAAATACTACTGCCCTGACTGCTCTTTCCCAACAAGTAACAAGGCACTCCCAAACCCTAAAATACACACACGCACACATCAACCAGCAGGGAACACCCCAAGTTTTATTTCAAAAACGAACTATAAGGGGAACTCCATTACCCTTATACAAATACAAGCAAACTCTCCTGGAACACTTTCCTTCCTTACATACATACCCAAACAGCCTCTGTACACCAACAGACCATCTGTCTTCTAGACGAAAAACATGTCTTTCCATGTACAAACTAATTAGTAACATTTATTAAACTTACAACAGTGAGATCACCCTGTCGTTCCTACATACACTTCAGCGTGTCAGGGACACCACAGTCCTAAGCATACAGGTAAACTACCCTCAGAAGATCACCTCTCCTGCCACTCTTATCCCTCTGATAGACACAAACTGGACCTTGGGGGATGCTCCAATCCTGCCTGCACAACACACAAACTAAACCTGTCAGGGACACAGCCGACTCCGCCTCCACTCGCTTACTTTCCCGCCCCTCTCCCCCAAGCCAGCAGCCCGCCAGTCAGGGACACCCCTTCGCCTCCGCCAGGAGGGACTTCCCGGTTAGCTCAGGATCCCCTTCCCTACTCTCCCCTCCCCCATCCTTACCACCAATGTCCCGGAGGTACAGGTCCGGGAGATGACAGGAGCGCCCAGGAAGCCAAGCATTGAGTAGCTGAGGAAGTACTTAGGCCTCAAGGCCTCCCCAGGCGGTAGTACTCACCGTGTCAGAGGCCGAGGCCGAGAGAGATGAGAGTGCAGGGAAGTGGGGAAGAGGGGACGGCCGCCACCAGGCTCCTCTGCTTCCCTTGGTCCACAGCGAATCCCTCCCGCTTGTCAAGAGGCAACCAGCGGGTGAGCGAACTGGCGGAAATACGAGAGAGCAGAAGGAAAAGGCGTGGGACTAAGCTGGGGAAACTGAAGGGAGGTGGGTCCCGCAACCGAAACGGGGATCGTCTCCCCCTCCGCAAAGCGAACCCAAAATGGCGGCGGAGCGGCGGCGGCAGAGCGGCGGCGGCGGCAGCTCCCCCGGAGGGAGGGAGCGAAGGGCGCCTCGTGCCCCCCCACCTCCCACTCCTCCCTCTTCGGCTTCTCCCCCTCCGTCCTCCCCCCTCACCCGACTTGGGCGAAGCGCGCACGCCCGCCCACACGCGCCAGAGTGTATGTAGCCCGGCTCGTCGCTCGCTGCTCTCACCAACCACCGCCTTTGGCCGCCCAGCGCGCCCGCCAGCCCGTACGCGCTTACTCAGAGGAGCCTCCTCGCACAGTCCCCCGCTTCCCCTCGGCCTCTGTCAAGCCAGCTCTAGCCCGGACCCTCACGCGTACCTCCAGCGGCTTGAGCCCAAACCTCCTCCTCCTCCTCCTCCACCTCCTCTTCTCTCCTCTCCCCCCCCTTCCCCGCCCCCACAGCCACCAACAGCCGCCACGGCCTCCGCCGCCGCCTCCTCCTCCTCCAGCCCCCCCACCATTCCCTCCACCCCTCGCGCGTGCGCCTCCCACAATCCCCCCGCGGGCCTGTTCCATTCTGGTGGCTGCGGGAGCGGGGGAGAAAAGGACAGGCAAGCTGGCAGAGCGGGCCGTTATGACTGGAACTATCCGAGTGGCGGACGGAGACCTGTAACTCTCCACCTCACTGGCCACGACACCGCAGCGGCCCGGCTCGCTTCACCCCTCCGCCTCCCGGCCGCGGTGAACGGGTTGAGGGAGGCTTGGCGCCCCTCCGCTGGGCAGTGGTAGGAGGCCGCGGCGGCTGCGCGTTGAGTAGTTTCCTGCTGAACGGAGCTAGCCTGCTTCTCTTTTGCGGGACGAGATCGGTGTAGCCAGTCAGTGTCTGCTGTTCCAGGAGGACTGGTCCGCGACTCGGTGAGGGAAGGAACCGGCACCGGGGAAGGGAGCGGGACTCCGCACTTCCAGGATGTAGGTAGTGAGGCTAAGTTGGGCCCACGACCCTCCTGGAGGGCTTCTTTTCGGTTTCAGGGTTGCATGCAGACTTGGGAACCAGGAAAAAACCAGCGCAGTGGTATTTCTCTTTTTTTAAACCTAACATAAATTCCTCGAATTCCACATCACTGTTATATGCGTTGTTTTTGTGCACTACTCATTCCTCATGGATAGATGGGTGATATATTTTCAACCTGATGTTAAAGGATAGAGAACCATATATTTTTAGTTCAATTCTGTACTCGATCTTCCATGTCTTGTATGTCCTTCAGAAAGTTATTTTCTTAATTCCATATTAGATAACATAATGTATGTAAAGTAGAAATAGCTCCTAGGCACAGGGAAAGTACAGAGTATTGTGTTATCGTCAGAGTACTGTTGATGTTGATAAGGTTTGTGGGTGTAATTGGTAGTTTGTGTCCTATTCTCCCAAATCGTTGATGAAACAGCTCACGAACATTTACTTTCTTAATGATAGAATTGAGGAGAACTATGAACTATTAAAATACAGAGATAATCTCAAAGTTTATCTAATCAGTAGTTTTAGTTTCACTCAACGGGTAAAGTAGAATAAATTAGGGAAGGGGTCTACGTGGGTTTCCCTTCACTTCAACATCTGTGGACTTCTAGGGATCCAGAGAATAGTTTAAAAATGTCTGTACTCCATTGATCTTAAAGACCTAGTCAAAACCTCTAAAGTTGAAGTAAACACTCGTTAATTTCCCCTTTACCATATTTCAATGTATGGATCAGGTGTTGTTTGCTTGCTTTGTCTTTTCAAGGTAGAGAAGAAATCAGTTTTAATCACCCAACTAAATATTTGCTTTCCCTAACTGTGTCTTAAGTTCCAATTCTTTGATGGTGCCCATTTAGGTTTACATTGATCTTTCTTTAGTTGTGCTGTATGTGCAAATGTGTTACCCTACCAACACATTTTTAATTTGAGGACAGGGGCTATGGCTAACATTTCTTTTATATTCTTTTATAGTCTGGTGCACAACTAGTCATGGAAATGTTTAAATGAATGTTAGATACTTTAAACATGAAAAGGGAAAGAGAATTAACGTGTGGAATACCATGCTAGGAGAACATATGTTGCTCTTTAATCCTTATAATAAACAACACTTAGAGATAGATCACCTTATCCCCATTTTACCCATGAGAAGCCTGAGGCTCAGAGAAATTCACTAACTTATCTTTAGACTTTAGTTTGATTGTTTCTTAAAAGGTTAAATCATTTCACGTTGCCTTCATGGTATTTTTCATCAATAGCATAATTGTCTATGCTACAAAGAAAAATACACTTTTAATGGAATTCCACTACACCAGTATATAAAGGAAGTTACTTATGGTCTCTGCCTTCAGTTAGCTCTTAGTAACTGTACTGATTAATGAATTGTCAGCTAAGTATTGGCAAATAAGTTAGTACTCTGTTCTTTTGTGTATGGCCCAGTACCTACCAGAGACCAAAACATATTAGGTGCCCGATGAAATGGCCTTATTGAATAAATTATTTGAACTAAGGAAGATATGTAAGACAAAATAATGGTTCCTCCAGAAATGTCCATTCCTAATCCCTGCAACCAGTGAATATATCACATGATGAGAGGGAATTAAGGATGCAGATGGATTTGAATTTGATAATCGGCTAACCTTAAAATAGGGAGATTATCCTGCATTATCTAATAGGCCTACAGTAATTACAAGAGTTCTGAAAAGATGGAAGAGGGAGTCAGAAGTGTCAAAGTGGTGTGACCTGACAGACTTGACAACCTGCTATTTGCAGGATTTAAAGATGGGAGGGAGAGCAGCCTCTAAAAATTGGAAAAGTAAAAAGAAAAATAAAAAATTCTCTACTAGAGCCTCCAGAAAGAGTACAACCCTGCAGACACTTTGATTTTGGACTTCTGAACCACACAACTCTAAGAAGACAAATTTGTGTTTTATGCCACTAAGTTTGTAGTAATTTGTTACAGCAGAATAGGAAACTGTTATAGAAAGGGGAGCCAAATCATGACAAACCTCCAAAGTACTCTGCCTTGGATTGTGATTTGTGCTTTAATTAATTAATTTTTTAAAGATTTTTGTTTATTTATTTTTGTTTTAAAGAGGGGAGGGGAAGGAGCAAGAGAGGGAAGGAAACATCAATATGTGGTTGCCTCTCTTGTGCCCCCTACTGGGGACCAGGCCTGCAACCGAGGCATTTGCCCCAGACTGGTTTGCAGGCCAGCACTCAACCATTGAGCCACACCAGCCAGGGCTGTGCTTTAATTTAAATGAGGGTGTGGTCTAACTGAAATTTTTCTTCAAGCAAAGTTATAGGCACTCAACAAAACTGCCTAGATTTCCAAACAGGCATACCTCATGTTATTATGCTCTACTTTATTGTACTTCCCTTTATTGCACTTCATAGGTGTTGCGTTTTTCACAAATAGAAGGCAGCACCATTTACATCTCGCTTTATTGCAATACTCACTTATTTTGATAGTCTGGAACCAAACCTGCAATATCTCCAAGGTCTGCCTATATTTCCTTATTGCTCTACTTCTCCTGGCATTAGTCTGCAAGCTGTAAACAGACAGCTGGGCTATGTGATATTGCTGTCCAGCAGCAGTCTTAGCAAGACTGCTCTCAGACTTCCCCACTAGAATAGAAGCAATTAAACATTTATTTCATGGTGCTTCCTTACTAGGATGTTTTCTAAATACAATATGGATAAATAGGAAAAGCTCTTCAATATAAACTTTTAAAATAAGGTTTCAAATGTTAAAAAAAATTTTAAAGATAAAATTTTATCACCAGGATTGACTTTACATGTGACAAGTTATGGGTAAATGCAATATAAGCATAATAGTCTGTGAATAATTTTCTATTTAACAAGGGAAGAACTGAAATTTTTGTTGGTGTACCAAGATTTTAAATTCATGCTTTAGATGTTACCATTATTTCCAATTTAGAAATGAGGAAACAGACACACAAACTTTAAGCAACTTGCTCAAAGTTACACAGCTATTCAGTAGGAGAGCCAGGTTTCAATCCCAGCAGTTAGTTTGCAAAGTCCATGCTTTTAACTATTTTATCATATTTGCAACTCTCTTTCCTTCTCCGTAAATTAGAGATCACATTACCTACATCACAGGATTGTTGTGAAGATAAAATGGGTTAATTCAAATAAAGCACTTTTGAACACTGCTTAACATACAGAAAGTATTCAGTAAATGTTAACTATTGCTATTGTAGTTAGTTGGGTTTTTTGGAACCCTAGATTTTTTTCTTATGTATTTTAGTAGCTGAAGGAAGGGGAACTTCGAAGCATATGCTCCTTACTCCTGCCTTTACCAGCACAACCCCTTTTATCTCTTTTCTGTTAGTATTATAAATTGCTCTTAGCTTGGTAAAATGCTTATGTCCTTGTTTTACAGATAGAAAACTTGGGCTCAGAGAGAAAAAAGACTTTTACAGTCTTAAAACAATGCTATTTTTTCCTGTAAAGAATGTTGTTTGAAAGGTACTCAGCTGAGAAACCAGAGGGTTTCTCAAACATTCTGGAGGTAGATTGATATGAGTTGTTGGAAATGGGAACTCACTGTAACAGAATTTGATGCTTTAGGGTTTCCTGTGTGGAGAAATATACACAGAGAATAATTCATACATTTGGGGTGGTAAAAACAAAATGTAATATACAGATAATGTATTATAGAATTGTATACCTGAACCTCTATAAGTAAATAAAATAATTCCTAAAGAAATATGCATACAGAATAATTGCTTGATAGCTTTATAAGAGTCACTAAGGGTTTGTTGATTTAACCTTGGAAAATTTACTCTTCACCTGGTTAATAGCAACCAGGTTCAGAATTCAGAAAGTACAAAAGACACCACTCTCCCTCTTTCCTGCCACCAAAGGACCTATTTTCTCTCTCTGAAGGCAACCAGTTTTACTGGGTTTTTACATATTATTCTAAATACTGTTTACATCTTTCAATAAACAGATTGGATGTATTTTTCTCCTTTTTTACACAAATACTAGCTTGCCTTGTACTTATCTGTACTTCCCCCCCTCCATCCTCCACTTAATATACATTAGAGATTTTCCTTCATTAGCACCCAGAGAATTTCTGGGATTGTTTCATTTCTAAACAGCTGCATTGTTTTTCATTGTGTGGATATGCTGTTCATGCATTGTTGACAGATATTTAGGTTCTTCCACTTTTTTTAAAAATATTAGAAACAGTGTTGCAATTGCATAATCATATACATAGGGACTCCTGTGTTTTTATTATCTCACTATAAAAATGATTTTGCTTAGGTTTCACAAAAACTTTTTTGAAGTAAACACCTTATTAAAGTTTAGAGAGTTTTTATTAAATAAATGGTATTAACATTGCTAATATTCTATTATTGTTAATAATATTAGGAATAAAAGTCAATAAGATAACTACCTGCAAAATTAACACCACAGTAGATCAGATTGTTTTGTGTATATCTTTGTCTTTATTTTTATGCCTCTCCACTTCAGAATCATAATCAATATAGAGTTAGATTGAAATCAATATAGGTATACCACTGAGCTCTAAAATTCTAGGGTGTTGACCCTGGGCATATGTGTACAATGAACATGCCTCTTGTTTTAAAGATTTTATTTATTTATTTATTTATTTATTTATTTATTTATTTATTTTTAGAGAGAGGAAGGGAGGGACAAAGAGAGGGAGAGAAACGTGAGTGTGTGGTTGCTTCTTGAACGCCACCTACTGGGTTCCTGGCATGTGCCCTGACTGGGGATCCAACTAGCTACCCTTTGGTTTGCAGACTGGCACTCATTCCACTGAGCCACACCATCCAGAGCTAAACATGCCTTTTGTGAAGCTTTTAGAGACCTTTTAAATGTTCTTACCAGTCTGGAATCAATTTGTTGGGAAATTTTCTAGGTTTAGTTTGTTAAATGATATCCAGAGAGTATCCTCTAAGCTAGGCAGC